TATCAATAATTTCACCATTACAACCCTCGAGGTCTGGTATTGGAGTCCCCTCAAGGAACGATGGAAAACCAACTCAGGCGATCCAACTTTCCCTCGTATAGTCCTTAAAACAAGTCAAACTATGAGCCTCATGGTGTGGCACTCCACTACTCCTGATGACTCCCCTCACAACCCTGGCATTACTCCGATGAGGGCCTGTTTCCCTGAGGGTTCTCTATCCCAGACCTTGCTAAAGCATTTCCAATAAAGAACAATGCTGTGTGACAATGAGGTGGGCTGGTGGAGGAGCGATAACTGCCCAATGTGATTAATCTGCCTTCATCAGCTGGGGAACGGGTGGCGTCCTTGACATGCATGTCTGATTGAATTTAACGTCTGCCTCTGACTCTAAACACTGAGTAAGTAGTGTTTTCTGCCTCTGTGTGACAGCTGTGTTGTGTCTGACATGTAGCTCTACCTCTGTCTTATAGCTGTGTGACATGTAGCTCTACCTCTGTCTTATAGCTGTGTAACATGTAGCTCTACCTCTGTCTTATAGCTGTGTGACATGTAGCTCTACCTCTGTCTTATAGCTGTGTCTGACATGTAGCTCTACCTCTGTCTTATAGCTGTCTGACATGTAGCTCTACCTCTGTCTTATAGCTGTGTGACATGTAGCTCTACCTCTGTCTTATAGCTGTTGTAACATGTAGCTCTATCTCTGTCTTATAGCTGTCTGACATGTAGCTCTACCTCTGTCTTATAGCTGTCTGACATGTAGCTCTACCTCTGTCTCATAGCTGTCTGACATGTAGCTCTACCTCTGTCTTATAGCTGTCTGACATGTAGCTCTACCTCTGTCTTATAGCTGTCTGACATGTAGCTCTACCTCTGTCTTATAGCTGTGTGTGTGTGTGTGTCTGTGTGTGTGTGTGTGTGTGTGTGTGTGTGACATGTTGCCCAGGGGCCGTATGTATCAACCATCTCAGAGAAGGAGTGCAGAACTAGGATCAAGTCTCTTCCGTGTCCATGTGACCTTATTCATTGTGATCTAAATGGCCAAAACTGATCCTAGATCAGTACTCCTACTCTGAGACGCTTGATAAATACGGCCCCTGGTCTACTACAGTGTTGTGTGTCACCTGTTCTATCTCTACATCTGCCTTATAGATGTGTGAGTTGACCTGTAGTTCTGCCTCTTAACTGTAAAAAAAAAAACATTAAACGTGTGACACGTTTATAACCTAACCCAGCTAGCCAACAATGTTCTGAGAACCATATGTTTCTTAGAGCTTGGTGAGAGCCTGGTTTTCTTCTGGTTATTTTGCATACAACCTTCCCACAAAGTTCTGGGAATGGTGCAGGATAGCACAGAACATTCTGAGAACCATATGTTTTTCTTAGGTGGGAATTTCAGTACTTTTTTTCTGCAGGTTTCCTCAAGGTTCTATTTAAAGTCATGTTCCTAGAACGTTCAGAGAATGTTAAGAAACAAAGGTCTTCTGTGGGAATTTCAGTAATTCAGCATAATATTTTCTTCAGGTTTCCTCATGGTTCTATTTACAGTTCTCATAACATTAAGAAAACGTTCCATAAAAACAACAAGAAAACAGTAATGTTCAAAGAACGTTCCAAGAATGTTATTTAAAAACATATACAGTGCCTTCGGAATGTATTCAGACCCCTTGACTTTTTCCACAGCCTTATTCTAAAATTCCCTCATCAATCTACACACAATACCCCATAATGACAAAGCAAAAACGTGTTTTTATACATTTTTGCTAATTAAATAAAATTAAAATAAAAAACGGAAATATGACATTTACGTAAGTATTCAGACCTTTATGCAGTACTTTATTGAAGCACCTTTGGCAGCGATTTCAGCCTTGAGTCTTCTTGGGTATGACACTACAAGCTTGGCACACCTGTATCTGGGGTGTTTCTCCCATTCTTCTCTGCAGATCCTCTCAAGCTCTGTCAAGTTGGATGGGGAGCGTCGCTGCACAGCTATTTTCAGGTCTCTCCAGACATGTTAGATCGGGTTCAAGTCCGGGCTCTGGCTGGGCCACTCAAGGACATTCAGTGACTTGTCCCGAAGCCACTCCTGCGTTGTCTTGGCTGTGTGCTTAGGGTCGTTGTCCTGTTGGAAGGTGAACCTTCGCCCCAAAATCAAATCAAAATGTATTTGTCACATGCGCTGAATACAACAGGTGTAGACCTTACAGTGAAATGCTTACTTACAAGCCCTTAACCAACAATGCAGTTTTAAGAAAAATAAGTGTTAAGTAAACAATAAATAAGTAAAAAATGAAGACAGTAAAATAACAGTAAAAATATCAGTAGCGAGGCTATATACAGGGGGTACCGGTACAGAGTCAATGTGCGGGGGCACCGGTTAGTCAAGGTAATTGAGGTAATATGTACATGTGGGTAGAGTTAAAGTGACTATGCATAGATAATAAACAGAGAGAAGTAGCAGCGTAAAAGAAGGGGTGGGGGCAATGCAAATAGTCCGGGTAGCCATTTGATTAGCTGTTCAGGAGTCTTATGGCTTGGGGGTAGAAGCTGTTAAGAAGCCTTTTGGACCTTGACTTGGCGCTCCAGTACCGCTTGCCGTGCGGTAGCAGAGAGAACAGTCTATGACTAGGGTGGCTGGAGTCTTTGCCAATTTTTAGGGCCTTCCACTGACACCGCCTGGTATAGAGGTCCTGGATGGCAGGAAGCTTGACCCCAGTGATGTACTGGGCCGTACGCACTACCCTCTGTAGTGCCTTGCGGTCGGAGGCTGAGCAGTTGCCATACCAGGCAGTGATGCAACCAGTCAGGATGCTCTCAATGGTGCAGCTGTATAACTTTTTTAGGATCTGAGGACCCATGCCAAATCTTTTCAGTCTCCTGAGGGGGAAGATGCTTTGTCGTGCCCTCTTCATGACTGATTGTACTTTGCTCCGTTCATCTTTGCCTTGATCCTGACTAGTCTCCCAGTCCCTGCCGCTGAAAAACATCCCCACAGCATGATGCTGCCACCACCATGCTTCACCATAGGGATGGTGCCAGGTTTCCTCCAGATGTGACGCTTGGTATTCAGGCCAAAGAGTTTAATCTTGGTTTCATCAGACCAGATAATCTTGTTTCTCATGGTCTGAGAGACTTTATGTGCCTTTTGGCACATCTCAAGGATGATCAATGGAAACAGGATGCACCTGAGCTCAATTTCAAGTCTTGTAGCAAAGGGTCTGAATACTTATGTAAATAAGGTATTTCAGTTTTTTGTTTGTAATACCTTTGCAAAAATATCTAAAAACTGGTTTTTGCTTTGTCATTATGGGATATTCTGTGTAGATTGCTGAGGAAATTGTTTTATTTAATCCATATTAGAATAAGGCTGTAACGTAACAAAATGTGGGAGAAAAAAGGAGTCTGAATACTTTCCGAAGGCATTGTACATTCCATTCTCAACGTCAACAAAACTCTCTATCCTCCATCTTGTTAAGTGTGTTTGATGTGGTTTTTTACATTGATATGTTTTTTTTTTAGATTGGTACATCGCTGTTGCTGGGCAAGAACTGAATTGGTTCCTCTCACTTTCACCACAGCAATAATTAGCAGTAATTTTGAGTGCAGGTTGTGAGTGATCAAATTTGAATTGTTGGGTAACCTCCCTCTGCCTGGATTCTGATAGGAATAACTCATCCCTTCACAAAGCAGTGTGTTGTGACTTGCAGGTCTGATGTGTCCCATGAGACAGGATTTTCAGACAACAATGTAGAGGGTAACTAGACCATAACTAAAGGCCTTGTGACATGTGGTCATAAAGAGTTTGCTTTGAATTGAAACATATTTCCTTGGACAGCCACTAGTTGAAGGCATCATGTTTGGATGCCATTGAATGCAACAATCTTGTCTCTGTCACTAACAAACACACTCTCGGGTGGGTATCTCTCACATTCCCTCGAAAGGCATGCTGGGATATATGCAAATACAGCTTTACAGCATACAGTCTTAAAACAACACACCCAGTATTTAGTGTTTAAAACCCTAACACCTTGTGCTGAATATACCTGTTAATGTGTTTTAAAAAAAGTTTTACAGCGAATAAACTTGTTCTGGTATTTACAATCTAAACACTGTGACGCGTTTTCATTGAAATTCTAAATGCCTTGATGCATTTAAAAAGTGTTACAGAAACGTTTTTCGTTGTTTGTTCAAATCCTAAACACTTTTTACGGTGTAGTCTTATAGCTGTGTGTTTTGACCTGTATTGCTGGTCCTGTCTCATAGCTGACTGTGTTTGTGACATGCAGCCTAGTTCTACCTCTGTATGGATTTGACATGTAGCTCTGGTCCTGTCTTATAGCTGTGCATTTTGACATGTAGCTCTGGTCCTGTCTTATAGCTGTGTGTTGTGACCTGTAGTGCTGGTCCTGTCTTATAGCTGTGTGTTTTGACCTGTATTGCTGGTCATGTCTTATAGCTGTGTGTTTTGACCTATAGCTCTGGTCCTGTCTTATAGTTGTGTGTTTTGATCTGTAGCTCTGGTCCTGACTAACAGCAGTGCATTTTGACATGTAGCTCTGGTCCTGTCTTATAGCTTTGTGTTTGTGACATGTAGCTCTGGTCCTGTCTTATAGCTGTGTGTTTTGACCTGTAGCTCTGGTCCTGTCTTATAGTTGTGTGTTTTGATCTGTAGCTCTGGTCCTGACTAACAGCAGTGCATTTTGACATGTAGCTCTGGTCCTGTCTTATAGCTGTGTGTTTTGACCTGTAGCTCTGGTCCTGTCTTATAGCTGTGTGTTTTGACATGTAGCTCTGGTCCTGACTAACAGCAGTGCTTTTTGACATGTAGCTCTGGTCCTGTCTTATAGCTTTGTGTTGTGACATGTAGCTCTGGTCCTGTCTTATAGCTTTGTGTTGTGACATGTAGCTCTGGTCCTGTCTTATAGCTTTGTGTTGTGACATGTAGCTCTGGTCCTGTCTTATAGCTTTGTGTTGTGACATGTAGCTCTGGTCCTGTCTCATAGCTGTGTGTCCGGAAGCCTCTGCAGTCACTGAAGTTAGAGGATTCGTGGGAGGACAAGTCACTATCCACTGCTCTCATGTACAATCGGAAAACAACGTCAAATACTTCTGCAAGAGGTCGTCCCTGGGGAAGGACATCCTGGTTAAAACGAAGGGGAGCGAAAGTTACACACAGAGAGGGAGGAAGGATACACAGCACAGCACAGTATAGTATAGTATAGTATAGTATAGTATAGTATAGTATAGTATATTATAGTATAGTATAGCATAGTATAGTATAGTATAGCATAGCATAGCATAGTATAGTATAGTATAGTATAGTATAGTATGGTCTAGTATAGTATAGTATATTATAGTATAGTATAGTATAGCATATCATAGTATAGTATAGTATAGTATAGTATAGTATAGTATAGTATAGTATAGTATAGCATAGTATAGCATAGCATAGTATAGTATAGTATAGTATAGTATAGTATAGTATAGCATAGCATAGCATAGCATAGCATAGCATAGCATAGTATAGTATATCATAGCATAGCATAGCATAGCATAGCATAGCATAGCATAGCATAGCATAGTATAGTATATTATAGTATAGTATAGTATAGTATAGTATAGTATAGTATAGTATAGTATAGTTGATTCTGATGAATGCTGAAACGTCAAGCTTAAAATAGTTGTTTAAATAAAATAGTATGTTTTTAATGGTGAGCCTTTTGCCTTTCAATGATGATGTAAATTCTTTGGTTGCACCTCGACTCACGTTGGTTGAGCGCCCTCCACTTTTCCCCAGGTGCAGTATAGACGACAGAGGAGATGGAGACTTCACTGTGGTCATCACTGGGCTGGTGGAGAGAGACTCTGGAACGTACTGGTGTGGAGTGGGAGGGACTGTCCCAGGCTCGTTCCAGGAAGTACATCTTACTGTTAGCAAAGGTGAGTTGTCAACAGAAAATCATGTTTATATTATACAACCTTTAACTATACAGATTTCTCTATTTGAGACCTTTTGTAAGATATACCTGTTATTGTGTACATTAATGTATAGAATTAATGTATAGCATTTATAGAAATTGCTTTATTAGGGATAATGTATGTCTATCCATAACAAAATGACACTTATGTGGATCTTGTGATACACCCCCATCCCATCCTCCCATCTGCTCCCCTCCCTCGACCCTAAACCAAAACCTCAACAATGTCACAACTACTGACTCCGGATAGACTCTGTAGCACAGAAATCCTATTAAAATCTAACTAACATGTAATTACATTTGAATGTGTAATTAAGTTCTAATATGTAATTCTATGCTCTGTATTCTGAAGAGAAGAGGTCCCCTGATCGTCTGGTTTCGATCCACAAGTGTTATTGTTACCAGAGCTGGGGTCCAATTGAATTGAATTGAATTGAATTCCATTCAATTCATAAAAATAATCACAATTCAATTTATCATTGATGACCATCATTTTCCATGTAGACTTTTCAATCCATGAATAGAATTTCACTTCACTTCCTGAATTGACCTAGTTGAAACATATAGTTCATTAGAATAACTGTAACCTCATCCCCAGGATCAATAGAGAGAGAAAGAACCGTCTGGTTGTCGAGATTATAGGATATTTATTCATCAGTACTGATAACATTCTGTAGGGGGCGATGTGGAGGTCGTTCTATTTGTTGACTGAGATATCAGTTGCTTGTCTGTTATGTGATGACATCATTCATTAAGGGGGAGTTGGGTTGTAGAGGAGGGATGTTTCTTCTGTTCAGAAACTCATCTGTTGAGTTGATCATTTACAAAGACTGTATTTGGATCAATGAAATGTCATAGAAAAGTAATACAATATATTGATGTATACTTTAACTATATTGTCATCATCTCAACAATGTGTTCCTCCTCTACTGAAACAAACATGGTAACTTTAGAACAGAGAAGTTGACAGTTTTAACACTTAGTCACCACAGCTAGCTGAGTTGTCTTGTGGTTTGGAAGTCTAA